TATATATATTATAATATAATGCATTTTTGGCATTTGTTTATTGCCGTTGCTAAGGAATGCATTTATACGTATCTCACAGACGCATAATGGTATTAATTCTGTGTWGGTGCTCGAAAAATTGACAAATGCATATATGCGTCCTTAGTCCATGCCGAACACTTACAGAAAGTGCATATATGCGTCCTTAGTCCATACCGATAGCTTCCGACAGACGCATATATGCGTCTGTAGCAGTCAAAGGGTTAATCTCAAATTTGATAAAATGATTGTATGGGAGGGTTGTATGTTTGCTCGAGTTAAGTGTAAGTCACCATTGTGTACACGAATAAAATATAATTATTGTACACATATGGTAGAACGTCTTCTTAACGTTAACATTATGACATATGAAATCAATTTCATTTGTCATAATTAGAAAAAAAAAAAAAAAAACAAAATGAAAATTATAGGCAACTACAATTTTTATGTATGAAAGATAAAACAAAACAACAACAACAACAACAACAAAAAAAAAGAAAGAGAGTGCAATTACTTATTTGTAATTTTCACATTGTTTGACGCTCAGAGACTTAATTTGCAATTGAACATTACAAATGGCTCTCTTAAGAAAGAACGAGCCCATTTATCATATTTATTCTTATTCAAGAATATTCATTATTTCATAGATTTTTTTATTTTCCTTTTTTTGTTAAAACAAATGATTTTTACGCTTTCCCTGACATTTATTTATTTTTTTTTTTTTTTTTGGATAAATGTGTAAAGATTTGAAAGTGTAAAAAAAAAAAAAGAGCTTTTATAATGAACAGAAATGAACAGTAAAATAATCTCTAAAAACACATGCATAAAACATAAAACATAAACATATGTCACCAAAATAATAAAAAAAAAAACAAACAAACAAACAAAATTATTTCTATTATTATCTTGAAACAAAAAAAAAACAAAAAATAATAATAATAAAAATCCTCTTTTAACTTTAACTTTATTTCGAAAATAAAAATTGCTTGTAGATCTCAATGTATTAAATTAAGTTATTTATATTATTCTAATTTCTCGTCTTTTAATTCTTGTGTTGAATCTTCGTTCGTTTTATTTTCATTAATTACCTTTTTCACGTTGTTTTTCCCACCTCTGTAATACTGTTGTATAGTTTTAAGAGACAACAAGACGGGAATCATTGCTGGTAAAAATAAAGGTGTATATACGGCATATCTGAAAGAATGAATGAATGAATGAATTAATGAATAATAATAATAATAATAATAATTGAAGACAATTTTGTTGACATAGAAAATTAAGTAAAATAAAAAAGATAGTGGCATACTTTTGGTCTTCTGGAAAATAAAGAAGTGCTAACAAAGTTGGATCGGAGAAAGCTTCTTCGGCAGTAATAAATGCATCCTTGCTAAGCATAAAACCATTCATAAGATCACCATTTTTAAGAAGTTCGGCAGAACGTTCAACCAAATCTAGGGCAATCTTTATTCTATTTCCTACAACATCAGTAATAACGATACGATTGATTTCTGTGAGAAGTTGAGCTAACGATTGCAATGTTAATTTAGCAGAAGTTAATTGCTCCATGGCACGAACTCGCAGCAAAGCATCTACTTCCCAATCACGTGATTTCAATCCAACCAGTGGTACTACAGTTACACTGCTTATAGGCTTCTGAAATTATAAATGGAATATTTCTATTGATTAATTAACAACAACAACAACAACAATCAAAAAACTGGGTTTTCTTTTTCAAATGAATTACCATTTCTGGAATGCCTAAAAGTAATCTTAGTTGTGCAAGAAATATACCGATGATAGTGGCTTCATCGGGAACGATGGTAGTAACGTTACCATATGCTGCAGCTTCGCATGCTTCTGATGGAGGATTTGTGAACACAACACCACCCCATCTAATATATATATATATATAATTAATATTAATATTAAGAGAGTGAGAAAGAAAGAGAACAAATATCTCTTTTATAGAAAAAGAAAATAACAACAACAACAAAAACTACGTACCTTGGAGATAGAAATGCTTCTACGTCACCGTCAGTCATCGATTTGTGACCATTACGTGCATAAATGTGTAAAGGAGCATTATCACATGAAACTACATATGCTACGAAATTTATGCACGGATGAAGACTCACTTGAGATGCTAGAATAATAAGATAATGTTTTATTATTATTATTATTATAATGTAAAGAATCATAGAAAAATGTTTGAAAATATTTCTTGGAATAATTCGTTAAAGTTCAAGTTTTACCTAATTTTTTTTCCAATGGTGTTACAATATGTGGTAAAACATCTTCCACAAGAGCATAATGTTTACCTTTCCAGCTACTGTCGGGAACAGTTATTAGATTAACGCTTAGTGGTAAGAAATATAACCACTGTGACTTCACCGAAAAATTGCTTATCATTGATAATTGATCGAGGAATGGCTCTATGTACTCTAAATAAAATAGACACATTTATTTATGAACATTTGTTATATGTATATAACACAATCGTCTCTATGCGAATGATTATTTAATTTAATAATAATAATAATAATATATACCCTCGGTCATTGCCTGGAGATCCCAATTGATTTGTAGTGTTTCAGGATCAGGATTCACCAAAGTTATCAAAACATCGTAAGCTGAACTAGCAGGAAATCTTCGTCTATTTTCTTCATCGAGACTGTAATTAGTTGGATTTGTAAGAGCATTTTTAGTAAGATCTAACGATTTTTCACGAAGGATCCATTCGGACAATACTTGTACCAATTTTGCATTACCTAAATAAGATTTTCATCGGTTAGTCATTTACCATCATATTATATGAATATGTTGAAAATATGTACTCTTACTTGTTTCAATTGAGAAGTATATAGTTCTTTTTGAACCAACGAGTACAGCATCATTAAGATTTGGGGATTCTAAGAGTAAAAGATTACCTACGTCCAAGTCAAAAGTAGAAGCAATTTTTTCTAATTCATTATGGGCAAATGCGAATGCCAAAAGATTGCTAGATACCACTTGATATACAACTTCCAAATCGTAGATCTCTGAAATGGTACAATGACGTGATAGATTTTAATAAATAATCAATTTTACATGACTAATGAATAATTAAGAAAATGATCAAACAATCATACACGTGTATATATCAAACATTAACATATATATATATATATAGGTATCTCTTTAAATTCTATACATGAAATTCAGCACTTGTGGCATACTTTGAAAGAGGTCATTGTCAACAATAGACCTATAAAAAGAATTCCTAAGGTTATTCTACTCATGTATTTTAATGGGAAGAGTTAGTTTCGAATAACAAGGACTCTAATAATTTGAATATTACGATTACAATCTAAAGAAATATTTAAATCATAGTAAAAAGTGAATACCACTATCTTTGAATGTTCTTCTTATTTCTTCAGTTAATGCTGTTGCTCGTTCATCAGTTAAAGCAGCAACAATGATCTTCATTTTGATTCTAATTTCTAGGTTTGATAAATCATCGATTCCAGAGTAAGGAAGTGCCACTCGTGGTACAGTTGTCATGTACCACCATAATGGTACTCCTATTCCTAATAGTATCACCGCAAAAGAAATGCTGGCATATACTCTAAACTTTTCTGTAAAAAAAAAAAAAAAATAACATAAGATTAGAAAAGAGAATATATATATTCAAACTTTTACATTGAATACATTAAATCAAATAGTTTTCATAATATGCGTCGCAGTGTTTTTTTACAGTGCCGCGATTTTCTAACAGGACATTCCCTAAATATTAAAAAATTTTCATTATTTTATTTCTAATTTAGAAATAGAACACAAATTTTGGAACCATTTGCATTGGGATCGATAAATGATATACAATTGGTTTGTTTTTATTTGGATATATAATATACAGTTAAGATTTTTCAATAGATAAGACAAAATACTAAATTAAGAATTTTTTGATCACATTAAACATTTTTTTTTTTTTTGTATTAATTGCATTGCTTGAATGATTTGATAAACGAGTATGTTTCATTGCAATAGTATTATACAAAAATAGCGCTTAATTATTTTTTTTTTTAGAATTATTATCAATTGATAAGTCATACGAGGCATAATAAAAAGGAAACGAAAAAAAAAAAAAAAGAAGAACTGATTTTTTAAAGCCTCTTAGATCATTTACACACACACACACACACAAATATCTTTTTTACTAGAACAAAATGAGCAGAAACACAAAAGTGTTCATTATTTTTCAAGCACATATAATGCATTACTTATATTTATGCAAAAAGTAATATATATTTTTATGTTTATTTTTTTCTTCTTCTCTTACGTTATCAAAAGGCATTGAATGGCGTAAAGTAAAACTTGTTTTTTCTTTTTCTTTTCTTTTTTAACAGTAATAACCTTGAAAATAAATTGAACTAGATCCAAATCGGCAATACGCTTTTTGGCACTATTCAAAATGTAACATTAGTTAAATATCAGTGCCGAACTTGAATGGTATTCGTGTCTGTTATATTTTTGATTCAATTCAAAATTATAATATTGAACAATGTTCCTTTAAATTTTCTGGTTTTTTCTTTTTTTTTATATAAAAAAAAAAAAAAAAATGATTATTTTACAGTGGATCTTAAAAATGAATAAAATGATTGTAGAAATAAATCCTTTGGATGTTGTACAGTCTTCGATATTTTATCTTTTTATACAGAAGATAGTGTGGTGAGAGAGAGAGAGAGAGAGAGAGAGAGAGAGAGAGTGAGATATCATTCGAAAATTTGTCGAAACAAAAATTATACAGCTGTATTTATACAGCTAAAAATTGTGCTCTGTTGGTGTACAATATTATTTCATTCCCATGATCAATCTAATTAAATAATAGAGGTATTGTTTGTATTTGTTTATTGTCTAACTGAACGAATAATTTATACAGTTTGTAATGTTAACAGATTATTTTCCGTATAAGTTAATTAAATCTACAAAACGCGTTTTATATTTTATATCGAATGATATTTGAAAAAAAAAAAGAAAAAGTGTATCATCATTTGAACAAAGAAAGAAAGAAAGAAAGAAAGGAAGAAAGATACACCTACGACATTTTATTAATGTCTCTTCTTTCTTTCAATTTATCATATTCGTTATTCTTTCGTATTTATCTTGACTCTAAACTATCATTATGTGATAATAATGTTTATAGTGAAGAGATGATGATGATGATAATAATAATAGGTATAATAAAAGCATTAATTCTATAATTCTCGTTTATTTTATTGACTTAATTGTCAAAAAAAAAAAAAAAAAGACTAATTTAAAATTAGACCTTTCATTAATACATAATTACTCATTTGAAAAATTTCTTATCTTATTAAAATAAAATAAATATCACGTTTAATATTTAAATCTCTTTCGTTAATACATTGTATAAGAACAAAAATGACTTTTTTTTTCTTTTTTTTTTAAGAGGATGCTAATTTGAAAATCATTTCAATCAATTGTCGTATTAAACAAAAAAAAAAACAAAAACAAAAAAAAAAGCCCGTTCATTATTTTTCTATGATTATACAGTAAAAACATATCATCATGTATTATTTTGAAAAATGATCAGATATATTATGAATGAAATGTCTAACAAGATTGTTCATTCTTCTTTGACAGAACACGAATGTATTATCAAAAGATTGACAAATGAAAAATTGTCTATAAAAGTAAACTTGAATTATCCATAGAAAATAAAACAACTATGCAAATAATAATTTCAAGGAAAAAAAAAAACAACAACAAATAATTATAGGAACAATCAATCATGTTTATAATTTGCAAATTACAATATATAATTTGTTTGTTTTTTTTTTCTTTTTTTAATACAACAAAGTATTTGAAAAATCACTTTACCGTCAAAAGAAATAAATATTAGTTTAATAATAGAATTACAAATACGTGTTGTTTATCATTTGAAGATATGAAAATCTTTTTGGATATCCCATATTTAAAAAAAAAAAAAAAAATAAACTATGGGTTTACGATTCACTTCCGTTTCAAATATCAGACCGAAAAAAAGTGATGTATAATTTTTTCTATTCGATAAAATGATTTTTGTTATACATTATATAAATACAGTAGTATATATATATATATATAAGTAAGTATATTGATTAAAATCGAAGAATACAAATATAGTTTCAAGAATTATTTCAGATAAATTCTTATGAATGACCTATTGTTTCAAGGACGGACACGTTACTTTCTCAAATGATTAAAATCATCGACACAACGTCAAACGAATAACAAAGTGAATAACTGAAATTAATTGAATGAATTCCTTTCCTATTTAGAATTACAAACACGTAATAATAATTAATGCGAACAGAGTTCATGCCCATTTTGTATATTATTATTATTATTGTGTTTAGTTGAAAAATATCCGTTTGACTACAATGAATATAAAATAAATTATAAAAACCATTTTGTTTTGTTTTTTTCCTGTTAAGTTATATTCGTCAAATCAAAATTATTTCACGTATTCGATGATGATAATAATAATAATACATTTTTTGTTTTCTATTAAAAATAATTACATTCATTTTCTTCCTTTAAACACCAATCAATCATTATTTTAATAGCATAGTCTCTGTTTTAACGGGATCTGGGTGTGAAGGAATGTTGTTTTATTACTTCTAACGATCAATCGATAGATTTTAATTTCCAACTCAACGAGTTAATGCTGGTATTATTTAAAAAAGAAACAAAAAAAAAAAACTAATCAATGACAATACACTCTTCTAATTTTCCTTGACCAAATTATCAATGGAAGTGAAAATCTGTTAAATGATATTACTATCATTTTAAATATCAGAATAATCTTAAAGATGACTAATCATTATATTACATTATGTTCAGTTAACAACTATAAATAAAATAAATCATTTGTTAAACGATATATTACTATAATTTTAAATATCATAATAATCCTAAAGATGACTAATCATTATATTACATTATGTTCAGTTAACAATTATAAACAAAAATAAATGTAAATAAAGTTAATCTTAAGGTTTGATAAATTTCTTACAAATTTACAGAAGTTATTTAGAATCTAATCAGTTTGTTCTGTTCGTTACTGTATAATATATATATATATATACACAAATTTATAAATCCAGACACATGTAAAAATGTGTTTCAATTTATTTTGAAAGAATAATATTCACATTTTTTTCATTTAAATATATATATATATATATATAATATCATATGATTATGAGTTTGTTGCTCTCGTGAAAGAAAGAGTAGGGAGCTTTTCCTGCTACGTTCCAGAATGGTATGGTCATATTTTTATAGTTTTTTTTTTCCATTTTCTTTGCCCTTTGTATAGAAAAAAAACAACGTCAGAAGAATGTGACGAAGGTTATCAATGGAATTCATGACGATAGAAGAAGAAACTTATACTCCCTCTCAACAGCTAAACAACCATTAATGGTTTAACATTGTTTTTATATTGAAAGAGAAAAAGAGAGGAAGAAGGGACAGAAAGAGTGAGAGAAAGAAAAGAGGATAAGAAAAAAAGAAAACAGAGAAGAACGAGTTAAGAGAGAAAGACAGAGAGAGAGAGAGAGGGGTAATACTTGAATCGTTCGTTTAAACTCTGGTGGTTTTGCTTCATGTCTTCCAGTGTGCTTTCAACTAACGGAAAGTCAGATCGTATTCTCAATCGTCCTTCTTCTCGTTACATCGTTGCAAATGTTTAACTTTAAATGCATTCTTATATTTCTATCATAAGAATAAAACAAAAACAAAAAAAAAAACAGGAATATCGATTCGTTTAAAATTAATTAAGAAAACAAAAGTTTATATTACTTTGCAATTAAACTATTTTCAAGAAATTAATCGATCATATTTTATGATCATTTTTTAAGTTTCATTCACAACATGATGATTCTTCCTTCGTCAAGATGCATTCCTTGTAAATCTGTAACACTGTGTTGATGTTTTCTGTTATTTAAAAGAAACATAGATAATCCTAAGGAACAACAGTTTAACAACCATTAATTTTGGAACCAGTGAGTTTGTTACTTGTGATACTTATTTTCATTCTTCTTCTTCATCTTCTTCTTCTTCATCTTCTTCTTCAATGGTGTATCGCAAAAATGGGATTTTAATTTGATGGAATTCTTGTCTATCTTTTTTTCCTTATTTATGAGAAGAACTTGTATTGCGATAACTGCTTTTCTCGATGATACTAGAACTGCTATTATAAAAATAAAAGAGTATGGGGCCCATCTTATCGAATAAAAATGACGTCATTTAATCATAGAACTTACTTGTTGTCGCAAATAATCTGTACTAATCTTCTCTCTCAATAATATTTAGTGCTAAGAAGAAAACAAAACAATAAAAACGAGACATAATCTATTTTTGATTCAACATGCAACGCGTAATTCCTTTTGCATAATATTAGAGAAATGAAAATTTAAACACTTTGCACTTTCATGATCGTATGATTGCAATACATCACTCTTTGTCTGTTTAATTGATTTACTACATTAGATTTATCCATTCAATTATATTCATCATACACATGCATTTATTTTATAGCTAAATACTTTTAGTAATAATATGTAGTATAATATAGTAAATTTTAGTAATAGTATAATTACTAATTTTACTATTAACACATTTGCGAGTGGCATATTTTTTTTTATAGATAAAGCATTATATATATATATATATATATATATTTTATAGCTAAATAATACTTTTAGTAATAATATGTAGTATAATATATTATACTATATTATTGTAGTATAATATAGTAAATTTTAGTAATAGTATAATTCCTATAATTTTACTATTAACATATTTGCGACCGGCATATTTTTTCCTTTTATAATACTGAGTACCGGCAAAAATAATGAATTGTTTAAATTAATATTTAAATAATAAAATATAATAATTTAATAAAATATAATTATTTAAATATTATATTTACATAATTCAATATAAATTTAATATATATATATAGACATTTATTTTTATTAAATTGTTAAAATTTAAAATGACGTAAATCACGTCAACCACAACTAGGAATAGAACTTGAAAACACGTGAATTTACGTCAGTGGTTGCAAATGTGTTAAAAGTAATAATATAATATAATTATAATTAAAGTAATTAGTATAATATAATCAAATTTTGGAATGTATACAAAATATATAATTTTTAATTTGCGATTTTATCTAATATAACACAAACATTTCTCCCTTGCATATATATTATAATATAAACACACACACACACATACATCATGAGCACGCACACGTATTCAACATTTTATTTTTATCATTACCTTCATAAAATATTCTGAATTAAATACGTTTTACTTTTCAATATTATATATCAATTTTTTTTTTTTTTTTTTTAATTAATATTTTGTTCAAAAAAATAAACTGTGTCTATATTAAAAGTTAACACCATGTTGTCGTTATATTATTTAATGATCAATAAAATTCTAACAATAAGACGCAAAAGTCCATTAAACGTCTGTTATTGATAATTCATTGTATAATCATTTTTTATCGATATTTTATACTTTAAATTCACTTGCATAATCTTGATGTCAATCACATTACTTTCTTTGTATATTTATTTTCATAAATGATAATATATATATATATATATATATGCACAAAAATTTCATGGAATTAATAATTATCAATAATTCATATGATTATCAGTAATTTTTATTTCATATAAGCGAACCCCAAAAATTATTCTTATCAAATGTTGCTCTTTTATTTTAGTTAAATTACAATGGCTACACTTACGGTAGAACCTGATCCAGAAATTACCAATACGACGACTAGAGAGTAAGTAATTTATTAAAAATAACAATAATTAACATATTTCAAGATATTATTAAAATAAATCAAAAAAAAAACATTTTAGGAAAGAATCATTATGTGTACTACTTATACGATTTGTGGCAATATATTGGAAATCTTTTATAATTGTACTATGGCCGTTGATCCTTCTACCAGTAGTACTTATCGAAACTAAAGAGGTTCGTGATACTATTAATACAATTTAAATAAATAAATATAATAGAATATTGACACACAACAATACAGAATATGCAAATCATGAGAAGAATACAACTTGATGACTGGCATAAATTTCTTTATACATATTCATATCACCACCATTCATCTTCATTGTGATTATAAAATTAGTACAATGTACGTTAAGGCTTAATTAAAAGATATCAGGTTGCCTTGATACCTTATAAAAGTAAGATACGAAATAGACACATGATTGTTACGTACCATACGTTAAATATTATGTAATCGTTTAAAAATAATATTTCATAAAACCCATGAATTAATTGATAATTCAAATAAATCAACGAGATTCTCTGCTTTTGGTACAACTGTGAAAAACAATTTTATAATGAACAAATGAACAAAACAAAAAAACAAAGCATTTTAACCATTCATTACTCATGAATATTACTCATTATAGGTATTGGCGATGCGATGTTTATACGTGGTAGCATTGATGGCAATGTTTTGGGTAACAGAAGCTCTACCATTACCCATCACAGGCCTCATACCCGTACTATTTTATCCTCTAATGGGTATTATGAGCACTAATGATACTTGCCTTTGTTATATGAACGATACCACAATGATGTTTCTTGGTAGCCTGGTCATCGCCGTTGTTATTGAAAACTCTGGTTTACACATGCGTATTGCTCTTTTAATCATCAAAATGATTGGTTGCAGCCATAGAAGGTGATATTATGTTTTTTTTTTATTAAACATCATCAGTATCAATATATTGATACATATTTTCAGACTGACTTTGGGTTTATTTTTCGTGACGATGTTCATTTCTATGTGGATTTCTAATACCGCATCTACCGCGATGATGATACCAATTATAGAGACTGTACTTATAGAACTTGAAGGAGTAAGTAAAGTTCATTTATTTCTTATTATTAGATTATTTGAATTTAATTAAAAAGATTCAATTTATTTCAGCAAGGACTTGGTGATATGTTCACTCAAGAAAATGAAACGAATAATGATGAATCGGAGACTGTATCTGCGTATGTATAAAATTGTATTTATATATTATGTATTATGCATATATTTCTTGATATATATTATTGATTTTTAATATAGTACAAAAAGACCAACACATAGTACCATGGTGTATTATTTGGTAGCAGCGTATGCTTCAAGTCTTGGTGGTATTGGTACAATAGTAGGAAGTGGGACTAATTTATCTTTAAAAGGATACTTTGAAACGTAAATATTCTTAGTGTTAAACTATGTAATAAATATTACATTTTGAAACATTTTATAATATATTTATATTTCATTTTTCTTAGACGTTTTCCAAATAGTCCAAGTATAAGTTTTGCTTCTTGGATGCTTTATTCGGTACCACCAATGTTACTTATGGGTGTTCTCACTTGGCTATGGTTGCAAGTAAAGTATATGGGTTTATTCAGGCCAAAAAGTGAAGATGCTAGAGCAATTGATATTGGCTCGCAAGGAGAACGCGTTGCTACGTCAGTAATAGAAAAAAAATACAAGGAACTTGGACCAATTTCGTGGCATGAGTCTATAGTTGGAATTATGTTTATAATTGTAGTATTACTTTGGTTCTTTAGAAGTCCTGGATTCATGAAAGGTTGGCCATCATACATCACGAATTTGTAAGTATAATCTTTTATCGTTTAATCTTATCAACTCGTGACATATTGCATATTTATTATGTTTAACATGTAAACATAATGATGATTGATTTTTTTTTGACATTTTGCAAAATTACTCTAGCTTTATTTTACAGGCCAGTCAAGGATTCAACAGCAGCTTCGTGTCTGACAATATTGTTCTTCATACTTCCAGCAAAACTTGACTTTCTTCATGCCTTCGATAATGATCCAAATAAACGTCCTACGAAACCATCGCCTGGTATGGTAACATGGCAAATGATACATAATAAAATGCACTGGAGTTTGATACTGGTGCTTGGTGGAGGTTTTGCTATATCAGCTGGTAGTAAATCATCTAAACTATCAGAAATCCTTGGAAATGCATTAATAGGATTAAATTCTATACATCCAATAGCAATATTAGCTATTGTTTGCGTATTCGCAGAAACTGTTACTGAATTAACTTCAAATGTTGCTGTTGCAAATATTATATTACCAGTATTAGCAGAAATGGTAAGCAAAATTGATGCGATCAATTTCAATAGCGTTTAATTAAATTATTATTAATTATTTTTCTTATAATTTTTTAGTGTGTGGTGCTACAAATACATCCCTTATATCTTATGCTTCCAGCAACTATATGTTGTTCATTTTCATTTCATTTACCAGTGGGCACACCACCCAATGCCATTGCCAGTGCAGCAGGACATATAAAAACGAAAGATTTTATAATTGCTGGTATTGGTCCAACTATTATAACATTAATTATAACTGTAGGAGCATTTTGCACATGGGGTACATATGTATTTAATTTAAATGAATTTCCAACATGGGCCATGCAGAATAAGACATTGTAGATCTGCTTTTTTATTTTAGTATTATTCGTATTAAAGTATTTTTAAGAATAAATTAAATTATATATATATACAAATTTTTGTATAATATTATAAAATATTAAAAAAAGAAAAAAAAAGTAAAACCTCAAATAAAACAATATTATATTATTGTTGTTGTTCCATAAAAAACAAAACATTGTAAACAGTATTACAAAAGCTTCATTTAATAAGCTAACTATAAATCTCAAATGATAATATTAAAATAAAAGATAAGATATATATATATGAATACAATTTATTTTCTATTAAAAGTATTAAAATATTTTTCTATCTTTATTAATAAAAACAAATTGTATTTATTCGTTTTATCAATATTTAATAAGCATTTGCAAATTGTATTCATAGGTTGTATATATTATAAAAAATTATTTATATTCTGACTAAACAAAAAGAAAAATCTAATAAAACAATAAGAAATAAAAATTAACATGCAATGTTTAATCTAACAATATAAAATTAAATAAGTAATATTAAAATGTATATATCACTTACCATCTTTACTGGTATCGTAGTCGACAGTTGTAATTTGTTCTTCCATTTTCAATGCGTTATTAATAACAAATGTTTATTACATAATAATAATAATGTTCCTCATTTCATTTCTTTTTCACTAACACAATTAAACGTTTTAAACGTTAAATTAAAAAAACATTGACACACGATAAATAAAATCGAGAAATCATTTAAAGTACATAAGATATTAGCAAACATAACCTTTATTATGAATAATTTATAAGACGATTAAAAAAACATTTAAATTTATTCGATATTGCAAAATAAATTAATAATATGCAATACAATCGCGAAATTAATACTTGTTACACCAATTTATTATTATTATTCACTTTTTTGCAACACATTTTATCACGCATATAAATGTCAATCTCCACACATGTCATTTAAGTATACACGAACCACGTGAAGTAAGCATATCATATCGTTTGCAATGAAGAGGCCATATTAGAAATTATCGATATATATCGATAGCGGCAATAAGGTGATGCATATTGTTTCCGTTTAGTTATAATATAGTTTATCAAAGATACTACAATTGTATGTATACAGTTGCATTTACAACAGAAGAAAATTATTTGGAAGATTGAAACAGATAGTAAGCTTGCAAAAATTCTATAGGAAAAAAGAATTGATCAGATAAGTAAATTGCCCACCTTAACCATAACCTTATCAATCAGTATTCAATAATATCTATATAATAAATCTGTATATATATATATGTATATGCAATAATTATAATTATAATTTTTATTAACATAGAAATATGAAATTTGATTTTATTTAAATATCTATTATTATTATTATTTAATATCAAGACATGAATACAATTGTTATTACAATAGTTTTTATTTGTAGTAGTTCTTATTACATATCTTAATATTAAGATAACAACGTATAACAAGGATTACTTTTTCCATTTTGCAAAGGATATAATTCTAATAAAACTTGTAAATTTAATAGAAGTTGTGCAAAAGTAGGTCTATTCTCTGGTTGAAATGCCCAACAATATTGCATTATTTTATAAATATCACAAGGAATATTTTTTGGCTGATTCAAAGACTGTTTTTCAATAATTATATGTTGTAGTAGTTTGTTATCTGGAATATCCGAATATGGAAAAGCTCCAAGAGTACCAATTTCCCATAGTACTATGCCAAATGACCAAACATCACTTTTAGAAGAAAATATACGATCTTGTAAAGTTTCTGGTGACATCCAACGTACTGGAAGTTGACGTATTTTGTTTGACGTATCATTTATAGTATAAATTCCATTTCGAGAAAGTCCAAAATCACATATCTAAAATTATATAAAAATATTTACAATTTGATTAGTTCTATTAACGAAGATAAATTTCACAAGGTATTACCTTTAAATGTAAATCTGAAGTAAGTAAAATATTCCTTGCAGCAAGATCTCTATGAACGATACCTTTAGATTCTAAATGTTCCATTCCTTTTGCAATATCAAGAGCAAATTGTATAAATTGATTTCTTTCAACTTCATTTTCCATGTTTATTGTATTTTCTTCTTTTTTAGAACACTCTAAATTAATATATCTTAAATTAGTCGATTTCAATTTGTCATCTTTTGAATATGTTGAAGATATAGATAGTGTATTTGTTGTTGTATATAATGCTAAAATAATAAGTAAGACAATGAAATCAACCAAATTCTTGAAATAAAAACCAAAAATATAGAAATCAAATATTACTACATACTTTCAGAAGAATGAAATAAAAATTCATATTTATTCAAATTATTAATAGTCATTTCAGATTCAGCTTTTTGATCTCTTATCGAATGTAAATATGCCAATAGATTACCACCTTTCATATATTCTAAAATTATACATATAGATTTATCTGGCATAATGGAATAACCCATAAGATTAACTAAATGTGGATGTTTTCCTGCCTTTTTCATTATCTCAATTTCTTCCACAAATTCTTGATATACATCCAATCTATTTAATTCATTTGACAATCGTGACATCTTAACTGCTACTGGTACTGCATTATTATTTATATATCCAAGATAAACTTTACTAAATTGACCTTTACCCAATTCAGAAGTTAGTTTTAAAGAATCATATGGAATTTCAAATTCATTTGTTTCCTGTTTATGCGACATTACCTTTACAACATATTGTTTATAACATTCATTATTTAAAATTATTCACATAGGACATATACATATATTATTTTCTTACCTCGGTATTACATTCGGTGTATAAAACATTATGTTTTCGAAGAATAGAATTCACCCAATTTGATTTACATTTAGAAATAGAATCTATTGATTGCATTCTAAAATTGAAACCACAAAAAAAAATATATATATATATAATTTAAAAGTAGTAAATATTCATTTATATTTCCCCTTGTATAAATAGTTTAAATATTACCGTGATGTGTATTCTTCCTTTAAAATAAATGTTCCTTCCTTTATTTTAGAAACAGTAATTAAACTAAGCAATGTAAATATTATACATATCACTGCAATAGATATAAATTCCTATAAAAATGATCAAACAATTAATAATTAAATCATCATTTTACATTTTTTATAAATACATACAATAATATAGCTTTCCTTTGATGAATTTTGATTCATTAAATCAATAGTAAATGTTCCATCATTACCAAAGCAACCATTATTATCTATTCCAGTTACAAATACTTTGTAATTATGCTGTAACTTATTACAACGATTACCATTATGTAAATTCCATAAAAAAGTATTAACTGTAGCTTTGGTAATACCTATTTGTGAGATATTATATACAGGAAAACCTGCTTTTGACATTAACAGAGGTACTCCTATACTGAAATGATGAATAATACCATGTTGCAATATTAAAGACAATGTATCAATTAAAAGATCTTTTACTTTCTAATTGAATGTATTATATTATACCTAATTTTGTAAGAATGTACATAAGTATTATTAGTTTCTACGTTCCATTTAATTAAGACGTAACATTTGTTAACAATTGCATTTACACGAGGTGTTGATAATACAGATGTTTTATTTACGCAAGTGCATTTATGACCTATACATTCTGGAACTTTATAAGTTACCTAAAAAAAAAAAAAAAGAAAGATAGAGAGTATCAATTCATTAAAATTATAATATTTAGAAACCTCTATATTTTGTTTATAGATTAATTACAAGTCTACTTACCCCTTGCACCGTTCCCGTTGGCTTTATTCTTGGATTAGCATAAACTTCTATCTTGTATGAGCAGCTTGGATGAATATACATCTCTGGTACATCAATTGATAAGTTATTTTGTGGTAGTAAAACATTAAGTTGACTATTATTTTGTGTTCTGTAATACAGTGTTCCTTCTGGACAAATTGTAAGATTTGATTTTTCACTTGAAATACTTGTTACTATCACACTGTTATAATATAAAACTTATAAAATAATTGTATTAGATAATGAACTTATGATTGGTACCAATGTCACGTGTCTACCTGTATGAGGAAGGTTGTTTATTCCCATTTGGTGGTAGCCAGGATATATTTAATTTCAATGATTTATATATATTATCAGCATTTAAATATTTGTCATCTTTTAAAACGTGTACTGTAATGTTGTTCACATTACCAACAAATTTATTTGTACTTGATGTCCATGATGTATTAATATTCAAAACAAAAAAGATCATCATACATTGTAAAAAGAATGACGAAGTTTGCAATAACATATTTTTTTTTATTATTATTATTATTATTAATGAAATGAACAATAAACAAATAGATATTAAAATTGTATGCTATTCTGTATGTTGTTGTTGTACTAACCAGTAGCATTTATATACTTAACTGAACTAAATCTAATCCACAAGAATCTAAGAAAATCTTATCTGATAAAATATGCGTTAAGGGGGCAAAGATTTTTCTTCTTTTTTTTTTTTTTTGCGTAAAATCTTTGATAAGATTATAAGACCTAGTCAATTTTATTTTATATTAATTTTATTCGATATCTTATTCCTTTCATATTATAATTATCCTTAAATAATATATTTAAATTCAATAAAATAATAAAGTAAATTTTGTTATTGTGAATGGTTATAAATAACAGTTGTTTATTATTAATACATTAATTATATAATGTTATAGATTTTCAAATGGCCTCGGCTGCGATGTCCCCGACTGAGGATGACGAGTTAACACTTCCTCGTGCATCCATTAATAAAATGATCAAAGAAATCTTACCGCACGTACGCGTTGCTAACGAGTCACGGGAATTAATTTTAAATTGTTGTACAGAATTTATACATTTGTTGTCTTCTGAAGCTAATGAAATATGTAATCAACAACAAAAAAAGACAATAAATGCAGAACACATTTTATTAGCACTTGACAAACTTGGTTTTGGCGATTACAGTGCAGAAGCAGAAGCTGTTTTAAGAGATTGTAAAGCAGTAGCAGCTAAAAGAAGACGTCAAAGTACAAGACTGGAGAATTTAGGAATTCCAGAAGAAGAATTGTTAAGACAACAACAAGAACTTTTTGCAAAAGCAAGAGAAGAACAAGCTGTTGCTGAACAACAACAATGGCAACAATTACAAGCAGTTGCACAAATGACATCAATGCAACAAACTGATAGCGAACAAGAAGACTATTCATAAGATACAATATTAAAATTATTCAATTGATCATATATAAAATTTCACCACACTTACATTAATATATATAATAAATATATATATATGTATATATATACATATAATATATATATATATATATATAATAGGAAATGTTATTTTTAATAAAAGTAAAAAGTTTACAATAGCACTTTAAAAGTACCTTCAATTCTGTGATTTATTTTCAATATAATTCAATTTTTATCTGTGTAGTACAAATTAAAATAATAATAATAGTGAAAATAAAAAAAAAAAAATAAAAAACTTATTCCTATTATTATATTTGATTATAAATCATTTGTAATTAAATTATATTATTAGATTTATTATGGCATTAATCTTCCATATTCTGATGATAGATGGCTTTTTTTAATTGCTTCCATGACTTTTGATACATAATGATACCTAGGAAATTATTTATTATGTGTTTGTACTATTTATAATTTTTTTTTTTATAAATATATTTACCAAGTTTTTTCCGTTAAAGTAGATGGTGTCATTGGATGCCTTGATACTCCATGTATTTTCATTCTTAATTGTTCAATCAATTTTTTTTCATTTTCTTGCAAATTGGATTCATCTGCAATAATAATAATAATAATAATAAAAATAATATATATGATATAATAAATTGAAAAAATAAATATGTAAATCAAACTTTTTAATTGACATATTGTACCTTCTGCTGTAATTAATGGTATAAAAAATAAGTTGAAACCATTTTCAACTGAATCAGAACTCATATCTAAACCACTATGAGTTTGTAGTCTAGAACTAGAAAATATTTGATTATACAAATACTGAAAAAAAACAAAAAAGAAAGTAAAAAAGTGATTAGATTTGTTCATACAATTTTTCAAATTAATACATTACATTGTACTAATTAAAAAAAATACCTTTATTTTTTTAACATTACTTGGCATAAAATCTTGTGCATCTACTTTATTATGTAAAAATAATATATGTGGATAATATTCAACGTAATCTTGATCCATAGTAGTTGTAGATGATGGTTTTAACATTTCTGCTGTTTGAAGAAACCTATTATAAAGTAAAGATATCTTTATATTTATGAAAGTTATATATTAATAAAATATACTATATATACACACGAATAATATATTATTAATGTATATTATCATAAATACCTCAATAGATTCGGATCAAAAATCCAATCTTGTACAAATATGATTACATGACACACTGAAAACAGAAATGCTGTAAATTGTAACGATTGCAATTCCGAATTGGTGTCATTATTTACAAAATCAGTTGAACTCTTTTTTTGTTCAAATGATGAACTGTAGTCAATTACAGAAACTGATAGAATAGGTTGTGTGTCTAAGTATATCACTCTATTCTTAGTTACAAAAAAATCTATTCCGCTAGTACAATTTGTACTGCTCTCGTGATGAGACAAATCTTGAACGGCAAAAATATCATTTCTAAATTCATAATTAAAATATTCATTATACTTATAGTTATTTCAAAGAGAGTACCATATCTATTTAGAAAACAAAACTAACTTATAATTTGATGTAAGAAGGGACATTATTGTAGATTTCCCAACACCTTGTCTACCTAAACATCCTACCACTAAGAAGTCTTGTTGATCACATAAAAATTCTAATGCACTTTCACAAAGTTGCATATTTTCATCCATGAATTTAGCACAATTTGTCATATCAATACATGTAGGAATTGCTGTGCGTGTTACTAAAAAACAAAATATAAATATTGAACTATTATTTCGTTATACTTATACTAACATAATTATTGGATGTTTTAATTATATTAAATTTTTATTTAATTATAATAAGAATATTTACTATCTGGTGGTTTCAATGCCACTGTTGAAGTTGAATCTGCTTCTTTTCTAAAATATTAATATATATATTTAAATATTTAAATATAAATCAGTGAAAGTGCTCTAATATATTATGAAATTTGGAGTAGAAGATTAAATCTCACAAGTTTATAATTCTTACTTGTTACCATTACGTTGACTTGGTGATACAGCTCTGCTTTCACCTTCTCTAGTTTTTAATATAAATGTTGGACGTTCAACAACTTTTATCAAAGCCCTACCATCTCCATCTTTACCTTCTGAATCCTTTGGTATTACTGGTATCATTTTTAATTAGATTTCTTTGTACTTTTTACACAATACAAAAAATAATACTGCTGAAATTTATTAAAAGATGTTCATAAAATTATAATAAATAATATTTATAATTAGTAATAAGAATTTATTAGCAAATACTTTGTATATTAAATTGTAATTGTCTTATCAAAGTGTGTCAAAAGTTCTAATCTTCATATAAGTCAGAATCAATAACAAAAAACTGACATATTGCCAAAGGATATTTCTGTCAAAAAAAAAAAAGGGGTATTTAATTAATTATTATACAAATCTGATTTATATTTTTAACAAAAAAGAAAAGTGAAATACGATACTTATGAAATAATAATATAAATTAATTATGATGTATCTTTTTTATTCTTACTTCAAATTTATTCTAGGTTAATTAAATAATCATTGTTTTAAATAACGTATTACTTTCTAATTGTAAATAAAACAAAAATTCTTCTGTCAAAGTTAGTATTTTTAAAATACTAGTTGCATTTGAACGGGTTTAGAAAAAAAAAAAAATAACCTCACTTTTCTATATAGAGGTTATAAGAGGATAAAAAAAAGCCGTCATTATCAACAAGAATTCTCGTCTATTTTTAAAAACAACGTTTCCGTTCAACACGAGCCAAAGAAGTCAAAAATAAATTTTCGACTATCTAGTAACGTCTAGATACTTCTAATTTGCATTTAATATAATGCAAGAATAGAAACAGTGACAGAAAACTTTCAGACGCGAACTGTACAAGTTGACAAGTGATCACTGCTAAAGTGATAGTTTTTTTTATTTAAAAAATTTAGAATACTTATACAATTGAGAACGTATTACTTCATTTTGATAGCATAAATAAATAAATAAATAAATAAATAAATTTTCTCAATTAATAAACGTAAAAGTAAGAATTAATTTAATTTAATTTAATTATTGTGTTCTACATATATTGTGTGTTGTATAAATTAAAAAATATATAATAACATTTGATATTTGTTTGAAGATGACAAAGGCAACTTTAACACCACAAGAGTGGAAAGAAAAAGGTAATGATGAATTTAATAAAGGAAATTGGAATGAAGCATTGAGTTGTTACACGAATGCTATCAATCTTACAAAAGAAGAAAGTGTTGAGAAAGCTGTTTTTTATAAGAACCGTGCAGCAACATATTTGAAACAAAAAGATTATAACAAGACGATTAATGATTGCAATGAGGCATTAAAAATTTGTCCTAAAGAACCAAAAGCTTTGTTTCGCAGATGTCAAGCTTTAGAAGCTTTGGAAAGATTTGAAGAAGCATACAGAGATGCTAGGTATATCATTTCTGTAGATCCTGGTAATAAAGCAATTCAACCTATTATTGCACGTCTACATGAAATTGTACAAGATCGACATAAACAAAATTCTCGTATTAGTTCAAAGGTATGTCTTATTACTTCTTGTTCTAATTCATTTTGTTATAAATATTCAAACTTTGTATATTATGTATTTTTTAAATATGTTTATATGTATCTAGGTATCTCAAATGATTGAAATAACATTTGATCCACAATATGATAAAGAAAAACGAGAAACAGCAATAAATAATCTCTTAGTACTATCTCGTGAAAGAGCTGGTGCAGATTTAATGTTTAACGAAGGAATAGCATCTAAAATAATGAAATTATTAAAATTAGAAAAGAATGAGGAAATAATTACAACTGCTATTCGTATTATTGCTGAATTATGTAAAGAAAATATCAGTAGAACTGAACAAATTTTAAATATTCTGGGTATACCATGGATCTTGGAAATGATCAATAGTAAAAATACAGAAAGAGTTAATGCAGCTCAATATTGCATGCAGGTATAATTAACTGAATATTATTTAAAATCAATTTAGTATACATTTCTATAATATAAATATACATATAAATATATGTTTCAAATTTCAGACCATATTAAACACTTATAGTGGAATGGATAATAAACCAGAAACTAAACCTAATAAGGATTTATGTGAAAAATATAAGAAAGAAATTGATACAATCTTATCTTGTTTAGTATATAGTACAACAAATAGAACAATAACTGGTCAAGCTAGAGATGCAATTATAGAAATTATAATGCGTAATATACATTACACTACATTAAATTGGGCAGAACGTTTAGTAGAAATTCAAGGTCTGCAGAGATTGATGGAAGTGGCCAGTGAATTAGAAGAATACAAGTATGAATCTGCAATGGACATAACTTCATCTACGCGTACTATAACAAGCGTTTGTTTGGCTAGAATTTATGAAAATATGTATTATGATGCTGCTAAAGAAAGATTTAGAAATGCTATTGATGAATACATCAAAGCAAAATTGCTTACACCAGATATAGAATCAAAGGTAATTGTTTGATTTGATCATTATTTTTTTTTTTTTTTTTTTTATCAATAAATGTATGTGTTTGATTTATAATTAAAATGTTTTATATATTTACAGGTACGTGTTGTTGTTGCAATAACAACATTATTACTTGGACCTTTAGACGTGGGAAATTCAGTTGTTGCTAAAGAAGGTATTATGGAAATGATTCTTGTAATGGCTGGTACAGAAGATCCATTGCAACAGAAAGTTGCATGTGAATGTATCATAGCTGCAGCATCTAAAAAGGATAAAGCTACAGCGATAATATCACAAGGTGTTAATATACTTAAAAAATTGTATCAATCAAAGGATGATTCTATTCGCGTACGAGCTTTAGTTGGTTTATGCAAATTGGGTAGTTCTGGTGGTACAGATGCAACTATTAAACCATTTGCTGATGGTGCGACGAAAAAATTAGCAGAAGCTTGTAGAAGATTTTTGATTAATCCTAAAAAACAAAAAGATATGAGAAAATGGGCCGTAGAAGGACTTTCTTATTTAACATTTGATGCTGAAGTTAAAGAAAAATTAATAGAAGATCGTGATGCCATTCAGGCTATGATAGAACTTGCCAAAACTGGAGATCAGTCTGTATTATATGGAGTAGTTACTACTTTAGTCAACTTATGTAATGCTTATGACAAACAAGAGATGATACCGGAAATGGTAGAATTGGCTAAATTTGCTAAACACCATATACCAGAAGAACATGAATTTGATGATCCAGATTTTGTAAACAAAAGATTAAATACTTTAGCTAAAGCAGGTGTAACCAGTGCTTTGGTTTGTCTTGCTAAAACTGAGAGTCAAAATAGTAAAGAATTAATAGCACGTGTATTTAATGCAATATGTAGTCAACAAGATGTAAGAGGAATTGTTGTACAACAAGGAGGTGCTAAAGTTCTTTTACCTTTGGCTTTAAATGGAACAGACAAAGGAAAAAAACAAGCTGCTCAAGCATTGGCTCGTTTAGGCATTACAATAAATCCAGAAGTAGCATTTCCTGGACAAAGAATCATGGAAGTTATAAGACCATTTCTAAATCTTTTAGATCCAGAATGTTCGGCTTTAGAAAACTTTGAAGCATTAATGGCGTTATGTAATATAGCTGGTGTTAGTGATACCGTTAGACAACGTCTTCTTAAAGAAGGTGCTTTTACAAAGATTGAAACGTATATGTATGAAGATCATGAAATGTTAAAACGTGCAGCTACACAAGTAGTCAATAATTTAATAATGTGCGAAGATACAATTAAATATTTCGAAGAAGAAAACGACAGAGTGAAATATCTTGTGATACTTTGTGAAGATGAAGATGAAGATACAAGTTTAGCTGCATCTGGAGCATTAGCAATGTTAACATCAGTAAGCACCAAGGTTATAGAGAAAATTTTTGATGTAAAAGATTGGTTAGAAGCACTACGCTTTTTGCTTGCTAATCCCAAATCTGAAATACAATATCGAGGTTTAGTTATTGTATCAAATATGATTAAATGTTCAAAAGATGTTGCTGCAAAATTGGTTGAAACAGACATAATAGAAATTTTAATGGCTTTAGTAAAGAGCGATACTGTGAAAGAGAAAAAGATTAAAGATTTGGCATCAAAAGCCTTAACAGCTGCAGCTGATTGGAAGCTCATTCTTTCAACAACACCATCATAATATTTTAATATTTCTCTCATTACAATTATTTGAATGAAAGTGCCTTATATAATGTAATCCAATAATTCATTAGTATTTTTTACTCATGTATATTAACACATGTACATAATATACATTGTACTTATTTCATTTCATTAGATAACTTATATTATTTATGCATATGATTTTACAAATAATAAATATAAATAGATATCGTGTTTATTTATATATTATATGGCATTGTTACTTAATAACAAAATTGGTTCATTAATCTGCAAAAAAGTATATTTTGTATTGTTACAAAAAATTGATTTTATTTATCTCTATATATATATATATATATGATGAACATAATATTTATTTCAATTTGTTAATAAAATATATAAAAATTCTTTATTTATCACATGGTATGTATATATACATATATTTTGTTTTGTTTTTAAAAATATATATATAACAATTATTTATAATGATAATTTAAAAAATGGATGTTCTAATGCTTGTTCTGCTGTAATTCGTGTTTTATGATTTACATCTAAAAGACTTTTTAATAATTGATATGCTTCTTTTGGATATTCTTCAAATGATGATGGCATCTAGAAATTGAAGAATATATTTTTCAATAAATTTAACTAATATGTAATACTTTCTTTAACAATCATGGATAAAATAAAACAAAACACAAATAATAAAAATACCTTTTTATAATTACTGTTATGTGGTAAATCTCTGTTTCTTTTTTGTAATTTTTGACATAAAGTCATTAAATCAATTCCTGGTAAATTTTCACTAGTAATAAGTTTTTTTCCTAAGTTAATAAAAATCATAATAAAATCAAATCAAATCAAATCAAATAAAACATAAAACAAATGACAAATAATTTTACAATAATTCAATATTAAAAATAATTGAAACAAAAATCAAATTAAGAACAACAAAAAACATATATATATATATATATATATAGAAAATTACCTAATTTTTGTGCACACTGTTGTAATTTCTGTGTACCAAATACTGATATTATTTCTGCTAATGCTGTACAATCATCAGGTGATCGGAAAAAAGGTTGGGTAGCACTCAAGATACATAACATAATTATTCCACTTGCCCAAATATCAATTGCTAAAATTTGTTTACAATAAATTAATTGAATATATTCATTGTTATATAATATATATTAATTATGTATATTATATACCTGGTGTTTGTAAAGAATATTTCAAAAGTACTTCAGGAGCTCTAAAGCCTGGAGTACCTGCTCGAGGTGCAACTTGAGATCGTTTATTTAAACATAATGAACAAGTTTTAGGTTTTCCAAAACATGCACATTGATCATTCATATAAATTTTATCGGAAGTACCAGATACATCTTTGCTATTCTGTGAATACCATAATTATATATATATATATATATGAGAAAGCTATTCGACATTAAAAAAAAAAAAAAACCCTTACTTCATCAAATCTTTTTCTTTTTACGGACTGTATTGTATTATTTACAATTGTTTCATCATTTAACGTTGGTGTATATTTTTGAGCTAATCCAAAATCAACTAGTAAATATCTAAAAACAATGTTTACTCTTATTCAGATGTTTATTTAATAATGGATTAATAATTATTTATTGTCCTTTATAGTATAATCACCTTTTATTAATACGATCGTATAAAAAATTACTTGGTTTAACATCTCTATGTATTATATTAAATTGATGTACTCTTCGTAATGCAACTAATAATGCTCTCATGTAATCCCTTGTTTCTTGAACTGTCATATCTTTAATGTATTCCTAATTAACATGTTTTTTTTTTATTATTATTAATTAAACTTACCTCTTTTTTTCTCATAATAAATTTGCAATGAAAAGTGTCATTGCTATAAATATTATGTTAAACTTACAGAAAACTTATCGTGCCTCATATATGGCATTACAAATACAACAGATCCTTGATTTCTTAAGCAACATTCTAAACCAACAACATGATCTTGACCTCTTAAAAAATCACACAAGATTTTAATATATATATATATATATATCAAAGTATTTTTATTGTTTAAATTCCATTAATATTTACCCAATTTCTTTTAAACATTGTAATTCACGTTCTATTTTTTCTATATGGCAAGTAGGTACCAAATATTTTAATGCATATCTTTTATATTCTTTAGAACCTTCGGATGATTTTAAAGTAGCTAAATAAACAGAACTAAATGTACCCTCACCAACTTTCATATGTATATGAAAAAGTTCTTTTATCATTGGTATACTATTTTGAAGAGCAGTAACCTTTTCCTTAAATTCATCTAAATAAAATATATCTTTTATTAGAATTTGTAATACACGTGTTATACATTTATTTATTATTTTTATTAAACTTAAAATTACTATAATATGTATATATATATATATATGTCCTTACCTTTAACAGCCATAATATTCAACTTATAAATATATAATTTTAATATTCAAAAGTTTCAGATCATTAACTTATGATTAACCTCACTTATATTTTAAATGATTTTTTCAAACATACTTCAATATTTCTTTTTATACTAAGTAATAATATTTGCCAATGGATATTAAATTGACAATTTTTTTGTTAACCTAACTTTTGAATCTTCGATTAACCGTTATTTTTATATAACTACTTTTCTTCAGTTTGAATTGGAAAAACGTGTCAACATAAAACTGCATAAAGTACAGCTGTACTTTTGAATAGTTTATAGGTATAAAGATATACAGATAAATACATAACGATTAGATTGTTGTAGTAAAAAGATAATATTATATTTAGTTTATTATTTAAAAAAAAAAAAAGAAAAAGAAAAAACATTCAATAAATGTAACTGAACATATTAAATTATTAAAATATGAAATTACCGTTCGACATCTTTTATTTATCAAAATAATTCTTTGGCAGTTACATATATGCGTCTTATTTAATTGTTATATAATCGTAATATATTTGTATAATAAAGACTAAATATGATTGGAGCTTTCTAATCTATTGTTTATACAAGCCAACGTACAATTGGTTGAATTTTATACTTGTATGCAATCGTCGTCAATGATATTCAACAATCTCTCTATTCGATCGGCAGTTTAGATATTTAACATTGAACAATTAAAAAAACATTTACTATTAAATAAAACAATTTATAAAACAAGAGACAAATGAATAAAGAATTATATTATTTAAAAATATCATCTTCGAATGAAAAGTGAAACATATGAATATATAAAATAGAAAAGAAAATTATTTTTTAATTAGAATCGTAAAAATTTTGTTTATTTTAAAAAATTAACAATAAACAAAATGATATTAAAAATATAAAATATATATGAATGATGAAATATACATATTCTGAAATTAAAACGGAATAAAGCGGAATAAACGTACATCTTATGAAGTCACGTGACGTCATTAGATGTTCCTCAGAACGTTGTTTATATGTTACGCGATTGGTGGAGAAAATTCGACGCATCCAATCACGTCTTTCGTTGCTCCGCAATGGTCACGTAAACTTTTCGGCCATCTTGTTATTTTCGAAAATCTCGAGGTTGGGTTTCGGCGACAACGCAGTGTGGCCGTTTTTCTTGTTTCTCGCTATGAGTGAGTGAAAAAAGGAGTGTAATCCCTTTTGGAATCTATGAAACGAAGGTACGATGAGTTAAGGTTTAATGGGAAAGATTGAATAACTTTAACGACGAATGCCACCTTTCTTCGTTGAAGAACATCGCAAATGTAGCAAAAACGGATGAGGAATGAGCGAGAAAGAGTGAGAGAGAGAAAGCCGAGAGAAAGAGAGAGATAGAGTGAGAAAGACGTGCGAACGAACGAAGCGAGAGAGTTAGTGTGAGTGAAAGAGCGCGAGGGGGCAGGGGTGCACGGAAGTAGGGGGTGCTGTGTGGGACAGAGAAGAGATGATAAAAAGGCGGTGAGGAACGGCGAGTGTGTGAAACGAAGAACAAAATTATTCGCGCGCGGGAATCAGCAGCAGTGTGTTTAATCCTTTTGTGCTTGTGATTTGCACAAAAAGGTCGTGATTATCAGTGTGGAACGTGTGTTTTATACCTTTTTTGAGAATCTGTGTATGAGAGTCATTGATGTAGGTATAAAACGATACTTTTGATTTCGATCTACGAACAACGACGCAGCGAGGAAATCAGGCCCGGGCGACCGAAATGCCGCAGATTTTCACTGTTTTCTTTAATAATCTTTTTTCTTCTATTATATTATTATTTTTGTTCTCAATTACATCCATTAAATTATTTATTTATACCATTTATTAACGAAAAAATTTGTTTGAGTTTGTCGAATGTAGGTTAGGTTGGACGGTCGCAGTGCGGTGACCTCCCTCGCAGAAGTTAGGAATGATTTTCTTCTTTACATATAATATTGTAACACGTTATCACTACTAATGTGATTTTAATATACATTATAAATCATCAAAATGATAATTTATTTTTAATTATCATCATCAATGCAATTCAATCAAAGAAAATCATTCGTTGCTTACATCTATTCATAAATTTTCTTGAATATATATCTATGTTATTTTTGTCCTATGTATACAAAGTTGTATTTGTTAATTATATAAAATAAATTTATTGTCTTTAGATTAAGTGTATGAAAGGAAGAAAATTTATAATACGGAATGGCAACTTTGGCAGAACAAGCATCCAAATTATTGGACTTTAACCAGAAATTGGATATAACGCTTCTTGATAATATAGTAGGATGTATGTACACTGGAATAGGTGAGCAACAAAGGGTTGCGCAGGAGGTTTTAACCACCCTTAAGGAGCATCCGAATGCATGGACACGTGTAGATACCATTCTAGAATATTCTCAGGTAATTTTGATTACAATATATTAAAACACAGGTATCTACGCATATACATTTATGGTGAGATAGATCATCGGATAATATATATTTCAAATATATAATTGTAATAGTATTGGTATGCAAGAATTACATGCTTGGTAATATTCATACGCAATACAACACAGTATTTGTATCAAAAAAGTAGAATTTAATAATAACTTGAATAAAATCATTCCTATAGAGAGTAGCGTGTGCAAAATGTAGTTAATATTATTAACTATTTAAAATTTAAAATTTTTATATAAACAAATTACAAAATTGCTTGTAACAGTTTGAAATATAGACAGATATCTATTACAAATTCATGTCTATACGCATTGTGTAGATACTGTATAATTATAATTCAATTGAATAGTACAAAAGAGTATAATTTACAGAGAAACAAGATTAAAGTATCTAATTCAGTTATTTATCAAATATTAAGCGTAGAAATGTAATAGCAGTAAAATTGCAATTTATGATATAGTAGTATATAGTTATTTTCATATGTATATAATAATGTTCAATAATGATGACTATACTTATGTATCTCAAGAACGTAGAGGTTTAGAAATGAAAATCATTAGAATGTTTAATTAGCATATTTTTACTTGTTTAATTAATTAATTACTTATAAAAAAAAAACTTGATAATAATTTGTGTTACATTAATAACATTGTAAGTATAAATATAATGTTAAAATTTAGAAGAGATAGTAGAATTCATAATTGGCATCAAAAAAATTGATTTAAAATTGATCTCGAATCTCATTTTGTGCCAAAAGAATATATTTGGGAGATAAATTAGGAAAAATATTTTATCACGTTGTCATTATTTATTTATTTATTATTCTATTTTATCTTTATATTATACAGAATCAGCAAACAAAATATTATGCTTTGCAAATCTTGGAGCAAGTAATTAAGACACGGTGGAAAGTACTACCAAGAAATCAATGTGAGGGAATAAAAAAATATATCGTAGCCCTCATTATAAAAACTAGTAGTGATCCAGAGACAATGGAAGCTTCTAAGGTTTATCTCAATAAATTGAATATGATCTTAGTGCAGGTAATGTGATGATATAATGAATATTAATTATTATTATTATTATTATTAATATAATTAACAAATTTGTAATCATAAATTATTTTATTATTGAATTTATAGGTATTAAAACGAGAATGGCCAAAAAATTGGGAATCTTTTATTAGTGATATTGTTGGAGCAAGTAAAACGAATGAAAGCCTTTGTCAAAATAACATGGCTATTTTGAAACTTCTTTCAGAAGAAGTATTTGATTTTTCTAGTGGTCAAATGACGCAAACAAAAGCTAAACATTTGAAGGATACAATGTGTAGTGAATTTTCACAAGTTTTTCAACTTTGTCAATTTGTAATGGATAATTCTCAGAATGTACCATTAGTAGCAGTTACTTTGGAAACGTTATTAAGGTTTTTGAATTGGATACCACTTGGGTATATTTTTGAAACAAAATTGATAACTACATTAATATTTAAGGTATATTATTTTTATTTCTAATATTTACATACTTTTACTCTTATACATTTATTATATATATATATATATATTTATTTTATTTTTTAGTTTTTAAATGTTCCAATATTTAGGAATATTACACTCAATTGTCTCACAGAAATTGCTGCAGTCACAGTAACAAGTTATGACGACATGTTTGTTGCATTATTCATTAATACAATGCAGCAGTTAGAACAAATGCTTCCACTTGAAACTAATATAAGAGAAGCATATGCAGTTGGACAAAATCAAGAGCAAAATTTTATACAAAATTTGGCAATGTTTCTTTGTACTTTTTTAAAGGAACACGGTCAATTGATAGAAAAGAAACAGTTAAATGAAACATTATTAAAAGCCTTGCATTATCTCGTATTAATCTCAGAGGTAGAAGAAGTTGAAATATTCAAAATTTGCTTAGAGTACTGGAATGGTTTATTAGCTGATTTATATAAAGATCATCCATATGTGGTACCTTCACCTTTGTTTGCTGCCAAGAATATGGCAATTACAACTAGGAGAGCTTTTTACGGTGCAGTTTTGACTAAAGTCAGATATATAATGATCAGTAGAATGGCTAAACCAGAAGAAGTTTTGGTAGTTGAAAATGAACATGGTGAAGTAGTACGAGAGTTTATGAAAGACACTGATTCTATTAACTTGTACAAAAATATGAGAGAAACTCTTGTATATCTTACTCATTTGGACTGTGTGGATACTGATCGTGTTATGACAGAAAAACTTCAGAATCAGGTTAACGGTTCAGAATGGTCTTGGAAAAATCTCAATACGGTAATTAATTTTTCTTAAGGGTTGTAATATTTGTCATAGTTATAACGTTTCATCAATCTTATATATATATAATACTTTACTTTTGTTTGGATATTAGCTTTGCTGGGCAATAGGTAGTATTTCTGGTGCAATGCACGAGGAAGATGAAAAGAGATTTTTAGTGACAGTAATAAAAGACTTACTTGGATTATGCGAACAAAAAAAGGGTAAAGATAATAAAGCTATTATTGCCAGTAATATTATGTATGTTGTTGGACAGTATCCACGATTTCTTAGAGCTCATTGGAAATTTTTGAAAACTGTTGTCAATAAGCTCTTTGAATTTATGCATGGTAAGTAATTTATTCAAAAGTTTAAACTATATATAATTATAAACTAAAAAAATAATAAACATGTATTAATATTCTTTAATAATTATTTTAGAGACACACGATGGAGTACAAGATATGGCCTGTGACACATTCATAAAAATAGCTTTAAAATGTAGGCGACATTTTGTTACAACACAGGTCGGTGAAGCATTACCGTTTATTGAAGAAATCCTTTCATCAATTAGTAGCATTATTTGTGATCTTCAGACTCAGCAGGTAAAGAGAATCTTAGTTTAAGCATTTTATTAACATTGGAAATCGTTACA